TCAACTCGGCACTAACAATTTGACTCATGCGTGGATGCTCGCAACCAACGCGAGCTTGCTTTCGCAGTGGACAAAGAATCCATTTTGGCGCGCATGTCGTCTTGGAGCCTGCAGTCGCGAAAAGGCGAAAGGGAGAATCCTCGGGCCTGGGCCAAGCAGAACCCACGCATTGTACTGCAAGGTCCTCATTCTGCCATAGAATGGCTTAGGGTTGCATAGGATCCTGGGCAGGGCTTTGCTCGGATGTCCGCTATGGAAGGGTACCCCTGGAAGGGCCTGCCAGCGCTCTCTCACGTCGCATGGGGGCTTGAAGGCTTTGAGTCCTTTAGGGCTCAGTGCCGACCACCATGCCCTGTTTCTTTACTAGGGCGAAGATCTTGGGGGTATCTTTCTGCAATTCTAAGAAGTGTCTGAGCATAGCTTTTAAGATCTTATAAAGCTTTCGACGCCCTGCCTGAAGTGATGAGCACGTGGGGGCTCCAGGCCAAGAGCTCGCAGACTCCGCGCCTTCTGACGGAGGAGCTCCGGGTCCTCGTTGTCCTGGTTTAGGGATTTAGGGGGTTCAGGGGGGTTGAAGGTTTAGGGTTTAGGGATTTAGGGGTTTATGGGCTTAGGGGTTTAGGGGTGTCGGGTTAAGGGTTTACTGGATTTCCGTGGAAAGCCAACCGATGGGTAGTTCTCCAAATTAGGGTCCCTTTTAGGGCCCTCTTTTGTAGGGGTGCCGTACTATGTTTGGGACCGAAAAGGTGACCCTAATTTAAACAACTACCCAGATGGTAGGGTTTAAGGTTTTTCGACATAGTTCTTTGCTCGTCCTACTGCGAAGAGAATTTTTATGTGTTCAACCCCCCCCCCTTTTCCTCAACCAGGTTTACATTGGAATCTCACTGAAGCAAGGGCTTATTAGCGAAAAAGGGGACTGCATCATTCGGCTCAGGGCCCGAGGCTCTTGCCTTTCGAGTCGGGCTCCAACAGCTGTTTCTACCCGCAGCTCTTTTTGCGGCCGAGGCGGCGTCAAGACATGCAGATTGCTCGGGTAACTTTTAAATTGTCTGTTTGACACCGCAAGGAGCAAGTCTTGGTTTGTCTGTGATGAGACGTGGCCGGGCTTGTAACAAGGACTGTCGGTCGTCAGCCAGAAACAACCAGCATGCTGATATGTGCTGATATGCAACTGCCTTGCTGGCTATCTCAGCAAGCAACCTCCCTCCCGAAACAACGCCCCAAAAGCTCTGAGCGCTGCAAGACTCGCGGAGATCTGACTTTGACACCTACTTTGCGCCTGTGACACCAAATAGAAGCGATTGGCTTGCCAGCGGGAGTGTGCAAAATCCTGTGCCGAGGGCCAAAGGCAGCACATGCCATGTCGCTGAAAAATGCAAGTAGAGTGTGCGGTCTCTGAATGCTCAGAACAGACATCATGCGGGCAAGTCTGAAAGCTTCTGAGTCCTCGCGGTACACCCCACCCATGGCTGTCTTTTTCGCCACGTGAATTAGATGCCGTGCTAAGCAGACCCGTTGCAGGAAGCCAAATTGCTGCCAGCAAGCAAACGGTGGTGCTAGCTTTACAGCAACTGGCTTGTCACACAGCTAATCACAGCTAGGTTGCTGACAGTTATGACTGGTGCATTGCTAACTACATGGACATTGCCAACATTCGACGACGAGTCGCCGTCTGCTTCGGCATCGATGATGGCCTTGGTCGACATGCTGAAGAGGTGCCACGAATGAGTTATGCTAGCAGCATGAGCTTGCTTCGATGCTTGAAAGCACGTGTTACTCTTCCATCGAACTTCACTGCGTGCTTGCCAGTGTCGTCGATGAGAATGCCGGCAGAGCAGCGCTATCAGCCGTTACGACCTCAATAAGCGCACTTCTTCCAAGACAGACCGACAGGAGATCGCTCAGAGGCTCAGCAACGAGCAGCGAAGTATGACTTGAAGCGCTTCAAGATCACTTTCTCGCCATCCAGAGGCATCGCCGACCTGAGCTCTTTGCACGGCAATCAGGAAATCTGAGGCCATCTCTAGCAGCCGAGATACATGTTGCCCTCTTGTGGATCGTAAGCAAAAACTGCATCTGCTTTTGCCACAAGCAATGCCTTAGCTGAGCTTGCTGGGTTTCTCAATGTCTTCCTTATTCTAGTTTTCCAGCTACAAGTACCTCGCTACGCCATCTCTTCTTTCTGACGATGCCAGTCCAATACGGGTGCCGTCATGCCCAGATGCATTCATTCCGGGGAATATGCAAGTGCAGCCGGCCGAAGCGCCCCCAGTCGAATCTGCATTCAACAGCCGAAGCTCCTTCACAGGTCCGCCCAAGAAAAAGCCATCGGAATCCATGCGAACTGCAAGAACCCTCTTCAAGTCAGTTGCTTCTTGTCGCAGCCCAACTACCGAACATCAGATTCGTGTGTACGTCCTGTCGACGCTTGCCATTAGCTTACAGATCATGGATGCCCGATGATGCCCGTCCTGATTGCCACCATTTTGATCGCAAACTTGCCAGGAGCAAACGGCATTCGAAGTGCAGGCAAAGAGCACGACCCGGCTCCCCTGCATTTGAGGAGAGTCTGTTACAGGTGGTGCTCCAAAAGGGCGTGCCTGTTCCAAAAACTCCAGGGACGTCACCTGGCGATTTCATAGAAAGGCACATCGAAAAGCTACTCGGCTGTGGCTCTGTGGACTCGAAATGACTCGAGCCTTGAGCCCTTCAGCCCCCTCTCACGCCTAGAATTCCAAACCAAGGCCTCCTGGGTGCCTTGCGGGGGCTCCTGGCGTCAGCTGCCGGAGAAAGGCACAAGACCGTGCTTAGCAGGTTCAAAGAAGCGAGAATAGATGAAGCGGCGACCAAAGAAGCCATGTACAGATTTGAAGGGGGCTGTGACCACTGACAATGTGAAAGACCGCCTAAAAGCTAAGCACGATCGAGTGCAACTGGAGGCCTTGGAAGATGGGGGTTTGCCCGAACATCCCTGAAAGGGTGCGGTGGATGTTGGGGTCTTGTGGCAGTATTGACAGCTGAAGTCTATGTCGATCATGTGCCCATGCTCTGCCTCAGCTGCATTGAGGGTCACAGGAGTCTGCTTTTCTTGGAGAAGGTCCTGGCGAACAGAGCCATACCGTGCGCAGCATCAACACTTTTCTGTGCACAGGAACAATCATCACATTGATATATGAAATAACAATAAGACCCAACAAGCCCATCAGTGTGACCACGAAGCTCGTCGGAACACGTCGTTGCGTGATAGCCTGGGGGCCTGAACTGTCGATCTGCATGGCAAGTTCTTTCCGGTAAATTCTCAGGAACAGTGAACCTCTTGCAAACCTGAAACTTCAGATTGGGTCGCAAAGTGTCGAACACGAACCGAGCTTCAATACTAGCCTGACATTGAACTGAACAATCTCGAATTCCCTAGCGTCAAGATCTTCCCCCAGCTAGTACCACTGACAATGACAGTAACAGGAGCCTGGGCCCGGAACAGTTGCACCGTGCCGCTCTTACAGCCAATGGCAACCAAGCCTGAGAGAGCGATGTTTCACCCTCCCACTGAGAAGGATTGCGCTGCTCATGGTAGCAATATCGAGAGATTGATACTGATGACGACGAGGACGAGAGTAGCGACAAGGCGACGATTATTCTGTAACACCAGCAACTTTGCAGCTGATCTGGCTATGTCACTGGGACCGCACAGAACTCGAGGCCTCTGCCGATGGATTGTGACCAGGGGCCGCGCCAAACTTGCTGGTGGCCGCGCCGAAAGCAGCCATGCAGGTCACCTCCGATGCTTCAAAGGGAAAAACAGCAACAGACTGAGAAAAAAAAGGCACATATTTAATGATCGCGAATTTGCCGGCCTGCCCTTCAGGACCGCGCTGGCCGAAGACCCGGTGCCTCCGCAACTGCTCGAAGTGATTCGCTGCCCGACTTCGGGGTTTAGGGTTTAGTGGATTTAGGGGATTTAGTGGAGCAGTAACGGATGGATGAACTGGGCAAGCTGGCATTGCTCTGACCGCACTTGGTCACGGGCGCCGCGAGGAACGAGAGGTTGGCTTGCTGCACGTGGTAGATCTGCATTGCGGATGGTCATCCCGCTTCAACCCCTCGGACCTTTGATTTTGCCTGCTCTTGAAACACAGTCCAATCGCTTGGATTGCACAAGCAAACGCTGGTCATTGGCAACGGTGCTTGTGCTTCGGGTCGTGGGAACCGATGGATTGCACCACGGCCCCGAGCTAACTAAGATCGGTATTGTAGCTTCAACGAGCTTCGATATGATCCGCCAAGTCAGCTGTCCAGTCAATGTACTCAAACCTCATCGCAACTTAGTAGATGCAAAAACTACTACTGTTTCTACTGCTACTGCTGCTGGTGCTGCTGCTACTGCTACGGCTACGGCTACGGCTGCGGCTAACTCCTACTCCTACTGCTACTGCTGCTGCAACTGCTGCTGCGATTGCGACGGCTACTGCTACTGCTACTCTTCCTCCTATTGCTGCATACCGCTACCACCACCACCACCACAACAACAACAACAACTACTACTACTACTACTACTAGTACTACTACTACTACTACTACTAATCCTGCTGCTGCTGCTGCTGCTACTACTACTACTACTACTGCTACCACTACGACGACTACTACTACTACTACTACTGCTACTACTGCTACTACTCCTGCTGCTGCTGCTGCTGCTGCTGCTGCTGCTACTGCTGCTACTACTACTACTACTACTACCACTACCACTACCACTACCACTACCACTACCACTACTACTACTACTACTACTACTA